AAAAAACGTCATGTATTGTCTGGGTGTACATCCAACTAACAATACGAATGCCGAAATATTTTGTTTCGGTAACATAGTTTATCCGCCGTCTTTTTATGTTTACTGACATTATTGTTATCCTCCATTTCATGGTTCTGGGGAACACCTTAATCAACGACGATTCTCTTTTCATCTCGTGTTTATTTCAGAGACGACAGTTACCGGCATCGCCACTCGCCGCAGTTTCCATCTTGGCGCCCTCCATGGGCTCCCATACAGAGTCGAGTTCAGGTAATAGGCGACAGAGATATGAAAAAAAAAAAGTTATACCATTCACATAAAAGTTTACTCTTAAGAACTGAAATGACTTTGACAAGACTCTCAAGCCCATTGTTAAAGGCGCAGAGTATGCATGTCGATAAAGAAAACGACGCCTCGTTTTGAGGAATGCTGCCTACAGCAAGCGGACAATGAAATGACCGTAGCGCCAAGGGAAAAGGTTCTCCGGTCAAACATTACGTAAACATAGCTGTCAAAAAGCGCACCACTTCTAGAGTCAGCGTAACCTGGTGCTTTATACTTTGGTCACGTGTGAAATGAAAATATAAAAGGGACAGAGTTCATTGAACTAAGCTGGCGAAGTTAGTAAGAACTGCTGTTAGGTGAATTGTCGCAGCTGTCACTTACGCGAAAAAGAAAAAGCGCTACCTGAATGCTTGTGCAGTGCATACAGGCGGCATCATGCGAACGAGAGTTTCGTATCGTGTTGCCAATAGCAATGTGATTTCTGTTATGAATGTTCAAATGCACAGGTATTGTTCATGCTCGTCACGAAGTGATTGTGACAAACGCGAGCATGATTTGTAAATGTGAAGAATTTATTTGCGATACAAAGTGAGTTGGACCATTTCTAACTACCGACCTTTCTGTTTATCTAGCCGCTCTCGTGGTCACCTCCTTATGTTGATATATACGAAAACTGGCGTAAAAGGGTGAAAACGTATGAAAAACATGATAGGTAGGTCATGAAATAAGCAAAATTACGTGTCCGTCACGTACCACCGTGAAACATTTTCCTACAGTCACGAGTAGCGCATACCCGCACACCTCGGCTTATGGTATGCAGGTATGCGCCACAAGTGGTTCTCATTCTATATCAAACTAGGAGAATAAAATTAGATATTAGAGCCACTGCGTGTAGACTAGACAGGAGAACGATATATCGCTTGTTATAGTTACGGATTTTAATTTAGCACACAAACAATTCAGGGAAATGCTGCTCCTATGACTCAACAAAATATAGTTTCAGCAAGAATACGCCAACAGCAAGAATACGCCAACAACGAACGTTGCGTACATTAAGCCTCTATAAATGTTGCGTCTTTGCGCTAACGTGAGTATCGGCGTTACGTCGAACAATAAAATAACCTTTGGACGTCAGTGCAGTCAATGTGCCTGGTAAGTCCATGGCATGCCCATAACTATTCAAGTTACAAGGGACGCTGATCTACCTCGTAAGACTTGGCTCAAAATGCAGCTTATAGGCTACTAACTGCCCTTTACTATATACTGGCTGACTGCCTCACATGAAATCGATTTCGTTGATGCATGGGACGTACCGAATATAAATAAAAAATAGGCTGCGCTGGCGGGAAACTTTTTGTTCTTGAACAGTTGTTTGAACCCACTTCAGCTCGCCATTTCTCTATTCACCAGCTGTTCTGGAGCCGTTTTCTTAAATCAGTAATTTGCGAAAGCATTCAGTTGGTACGCGCTCCAATTTCAGTGAGTTCAACAACAACGATGGCTACAAGGTTATTGGTCTTTAACTCCTTTAAGAAACATGTGGTCTATATGAGGGAGGATGCATACGCAAGTCGAAAACTTTTTGGCTTCCTGGCTATGTCTAGCACAGTACGCGGGACCAGATTGAGAGTGTAGTAGATGGCTACGGATGAATTTTCAACGCCCGGTATTGTTTAACGTCTCCCCAAAGCGCGTGACACGACCCGGGTTACCAGGCAGGTCACCCACAAGAAAACACTCATGTACACTTGTTTTATGCACGTCGAACAACCTTAGGGGGTGAAAAATATTCTGCAGCCCTCAGCTTATCGCTCAAAGCTCCACGGCGTCCCTCATTTTTCTTCGGTTATGGGATAATTTGCATCGTTATACTTCGATAGTTGCAATAGAGCACTGGAAGATATTTCCGAGAACTTCCTAAAGCCACTTTTGAAGGCTCTATAACGCAGAATTATTCTCAAGTACGCAATTATTCTAAAATGAGTATGGACTGATTCTAAAATGAGAAACGCCGAATAAAGATGGCAAGCTTAACACAATGGCGAAGGCATACAAAAATGTAGATACTATACGTATGATCCTCCTAAATGCAGACGTGTTTTTTTTTTGCTTTTTTTTTGCAAAAGCCGGACGAAAAAAAAAAACAGATGTCATAGTAAACGAATTCTGCGCGTTGAGAGAAATCAAGAAAAATCGAAGCGTGTCAAATTTCTAATATCGGTCTGTATTTTTTTCTTTCCTTCGCTCACTTCTCAGGATAAGCAGGAATATAAGAGACAGTCAAGTCGCTGCTAACAAAGCTTCTAATAATAATACCTGGGGTTTGACGTCGCAAAACCACGATATGTGATTACGAGAGACGCCGTGGTGGAGCACTCCGCAAATTTCGACCATCCATCCATACGTGCGAAAGATTACTGCAGTATTCTTTCGCACGAAGCTTCCACACCACGTTTATTTCAGAGATAAAGCAATAGGCCAACGCGGCAGGTAATGCCATTGTTCATTCTAGAGTGTGCGTTTCCTATACAGAAAACGACGCACTTCGTACGTCGTTTGCGTGCGCATGGCGAGCTTTCTTTCACGGCCGCGAGAACGGCCAAAATGAATCGTACTCGAAGCGGAACGTAAACAGCCCTAGGACACATAAACAGGTGCATTCCCAACAAACATCTGCCCCACTCCAGTTTTTTTCCTCGTTCCTGGTACGTATAACAATACTAGATCTCGACGTTAATCATCGCTTTCTCATCGAACTTGGCGTAATGACGACTGGCGCGCACCCAAGTGCCGTACACGCCTTTCAGTTAAAAATATCGTGCAGGTATTGAGCGTGATACAATGCACTGTACGAGTGGCGGTTGACGTCATTAGGCTGGGTTTCGACAACTGTGCGCCAGACCGAGAAGCTTTTCGGAGCACGTAAATGGTGAAAGAAGTCAAGGTCCATCGCTTCTTCACCATTTGGGCAACTTACATTTGTATGCGTGACGGTCGCACGGAAAATTACGCAAGGGAACTTATAACAAACGAAATATTACAGCTATGGGGCCGGCAACAAATATTTTTTTTAAATGAAGATACATCAGAGATCAATTATATCAAGGGTATCTATCAAGCATGCGACCCGGTGCACACATGACTGCTTGTCTTTGTCTTTTTTTTGTATTTTTTTTAATAAGTATGTTCATGAGCTATACCTAGATGTGAATGATTTCAAGCATACTTGTTGTGAGACATATCTCATCCGCTCACTCTGTATTAAGACATTATTAATAATTGTTGGTGATTTACGTCCCAAAACCACCATGTGCTTATGAGAGACGCCGTAAGTGGAAGGCTACGGAAATTTTGACCACCTGGTGTTCTTGTTGGAACGTTACCGTACAACAAAAGCTATATTTCAGAATCGGGGTCGAGATTTCAGTCATTCCGTCGATCAATACCGATATGTCTCTCTAAAGATGACGCTGAATCCCATCGAAAACTGATCCATAAAGCAGACATGAAAAGGGCCTTCTTTCAAATGGCCCAGTAGCTGACATTTTGCTCAAACTCGCCCTTCCCATGAATTATGCAAGATGTAATAGTCATTGGTATTATATTCTTTGCGTCATCCAAGCTATTTCCCTAACTAGTCAAATATACTATGGATGTCATATATATATATATATATATATATATATATATATATATATATATATATATATATATATATCTTTAATTGAAAGTAAGTTATGTGGTGGCTTTCCAGTGTGGCGTCGCTTGTGTATGAGGACGTATGCAAGTCGCGTCGTCATTAAAAATGTTTAACTTGAAATAAACGTTGACGACGTCAGCAAGGAGACGCCAACACAGTGACAAACCACGATTTCGTAAGAGCACGCACACTTCCGCTACGGCGCACAGTGCCTCCGGCTCGCGGGCGTTGACCGAGATGAAACGCCATCATAGCTCTGCGTTTTTTGTTTGTTAGCTTTTTGTTTTGCATTCTATACTGCTGATTCGAGAAAGATATGACGGAGGGAAAGTGGTGGAATTGTAATAAATCGTGCCTGGGGCTACGAGAGTTTTTTTTTTTTTTTTTACTGTAGGCTATAAAGATCGTTTTGCGACTGGCGTTTCGATGCGTGCGCATGACAAGTCTGAAGGTGCGACTATGTAACGCGCGTGGCCGACTCGCGCAAAAGATCCTCGCAAAGTCTTCGTGAGCGGAGGGTGGAATTATTATCCGGTAGTGCTACCTACCATCTTTATGGAACCGATTGGACCCAGAAAAAATACAGACACAAATAGGCTGACCGCTGCAACACTGCGGTGAGCAGGACAGTCGTGTGCGGAAGCGTGCTGCCGTTCACCCCTGCTTCTCAAGTGATTCGCGAGCGTCCCTGAAATCGAGTGGCGACTTGTGCGTTTTCGGATCACACAGAATACCTCCATACAAAAAGGTCCATCACACTCACGATAGTTCCAAGAGAGACAGAGATACGCTGATCATACAAGAGTGCATAAGCGTGCGTGGGTTGCCCTTTAGGGGGGGGAGGCGAAGGTTTATCGCAGCACCCCCCCTCAATTAAGGCAATGTATGGATCAGACATTGCCCCCACCTTTCACCCTCTTAGATGCTTAGGGGGTTGTCCCAATCCCCCTTTGTGCGCTGAGCCGCGGCACTACTGGGGATCGGCCATATACAACCACTTGGCTGCACAACTCACGGTGGTGTTGAAGTTGATGATACGGTCGTACCACTTGCACACGCTCATGTAGAGCTCCGTGACCAAGGCTGACACCGGCGCCATTGGCTGGCTCCTCCGTTCGCCCGCGAATCTGCCGTCGCACGTCGCCGCGGCTCGCGATTCTGTCAGCCCTCGCGACTTGCTCGACCGCTCGTATATTGTGTTTCCCCACACTGTGTGCGCACAACATGCGCGAGCGCCACGACGTATGACCTTGTCGCGAGCTCGACGAGAAGTTCCTCCGCGTTTACGTAGTGGACCTATGAGGGAAACGTACCGGTGGATATAAATAGTTCTGACCTGGAAGACAGCGACCATTGGCGACTATTACCAAACAGCACGTTCTATGTTCGTGAGCGATCATTTCACACAGCATAATTGCCGCCATGTACGCCCGCTGATCAGTCAATATTACCGATGCACCGTATACATTACGCCCCGTCGCAGTGGTCTAGTGGCTATGGTACTCGGCTGATGATCCGCATGCAGGTCGCGGGATCGAATCTCGGCGGCGGTGGCTGCATTTTCGATGGAGGCGAAAATGTTGTAGGCCCGTGTGCTCAAATTTTGGTGCACGTTAAAGAACCTCAGGCGGTCGAAATTTCCGGAGCCCTCCACTACGGCGTCTCTCATAATCATATGGTAGTTTTGAGACGTTAAACCTCACATATAAAAAAAAACCTTATACATGAAGCTCTTCTTCAAGGGCCTACATCATAGACAAGTAACAATATATCAATATTCGTTCCGATTTGCTGAAGACACGCAGCCGTTCGATTGTCATATATGAAACTTATACCTGGAAAATTTTATTACCGATAAAGCGAAATGAACTATCCGCACAGTATTGTTTATATTTTAGGCGTTCGCGCACTTTCCAATTGTTTTTTTTTCTTTTTCTTCTACTCCCCGCAATGGTACAATGTTTCATTTAATGGCTGATACATTCTGCTAAACAGGAGGACGTGGGTTTGATCACCGGGCACATTTCTATGTATACAGGCGGAGTACAAAAGCGCTTGTGTTCTTCAAAGAACTCTCTGAGCCAAGGAGGTGAAGATAAATATAAAGTCATCCTATGTGGCGTACCTCACTTAGCTATCTCAAGGCGGGACGGTTCACTTGTTGGAATTGTGCAATTAGATCGACCAAACTAGTACTGAACCGCGAGTGTCATCACGCACGCACGCGCGCGCACACACACACACACACACACACACACACACACACACACACACACACACACACACACACACACACACACACACACACACACACACACACACACACACACACACCGGCTCTGACACCAGGTAAGCGCATATGAAATGTTTAAAATGATCCGGCACGCAGTCTGTACTCTCAGCCCTCCATTACTGAAGTCCGATGTCCTAACCACTACGCCACATGCTTTGCCGGTATTTGACATTTTAATGAGGTCCGTGTTAAGGAGCGGACTGACCATATATACATGTAGATTAGTCTAATGTCATTAAGTCCATCCTCCCCATCCCATTTCAATGCTTCAATAGCGATTGATTGTGGATATAACCTTTGCAATTAGCATATACGGTCGACCCCTCTCAATCCTCTCTCTCAAACAGGTTTTGATTCGAAAGGGCAATGGCTTCAATCAATGATTGACAGCTTTTGCAGAAGATTTGCTTGATATTGACGCGATTCTTTTGTGCAGACGGAACAGTATAATTTTCGTCCGCGCAACAGAGACATGAGGATCGTGTGCCGTGACGTACTGCCCACATACAGCGAGACGCATGCGAACTGTACGTACTTTGAGGTGACAGCTAGTTGGACTGTATATATATTTATATAATAAGACGGGTACTTACGGCCATTATGGTGCTCGAGACATTCTTCCTTTTCGCCTAACTACGGCGATACTGTGCCGCGTTTGTTGCTTTCAAGCGGACTGTACAACCCACTACGGAGGACATGCCAAGAAATTATTGGTGTATGTTACCTGTTTTTTCGTTGCAGTTTCTGCTTTATATTTGAAGAAAATTGTGATGGCTATAGCTACATCATTCGCCCCATCTTCGCTTGCGTTCTCTGCACCCGGCTTCGATGACATTCGCAGTGTCCCGCGCAAGGTACCGCATCAAGATTTTTTTTTCCAAAATAATTCCTCTTTGCCAACGTGAGTTTAACTCAGACTGGGAGATGGTCTTACCTGAAATAGTGCGACCTCAAGCTATGAAGCACGACACCATACAGCAACTGGTCTACCTGGATAAGCATGCACAGAATTCCCCTTCAAAAAAAAAGGGGGGGGGGGCGGTCGTCTCAGTTCCCCCATTTTTGTTATGCCAATGTATGGGGCAAGTTGTGCCTCCCCTCAGGTGACTACGGAAAACACCCCCCCTTTCCCTCCCCGTAGTACCGCGTAGAACCTGCCCAACGGGTACGTGCCTCAGCATTTCACTTTGTTGCGAAGACAGTCTTCGGACAAGAGACCTAAGCGGGCCAGTTTGCCAGGGGAGGGGAGGTGATCACGATAACATTTAACTTTTCATCATGACACCTTTGTGAAAAATAAAGTGTATTGGAGAATTTATAATATAGGTGTGAAGAAAGCGAATTGGGTGAAAAAATAACTTTCCGAGGACCGGGACCGAACCCTACAACCTTCGGATAAGGCACCCGATGCTCTGGCTACCAATTGAGCTACGGCGGTGGTCGTCCCCTCTTTTATGTACACGCTAACCCTTGTTAGCCAGCTTGCTTGCTTGCTTGCTTGTGCCTATGTTTTGGATCGTACCCACTACGGGGGATTGGCCTTTAAACTGGCTGTTAATAAAATGGGGATAAAAATTTTCAATATGATGAAGAAAGATGAAATAATCAGATATCTAGGGAATATTAAATTCAACAATCAAGGTCACATAGCATTGGCACAATGAACGATAATCTTACTAGTATCATCAAAGAGTGTGCAATGGAAGTTGGAGCTACAATCACTCGACAGGACACTGGAAAACTTCCAGAAGAGGAAAAAATTCATTAAGAGATGACAACACACGAAGGCCTCAAATACAACTGACAAAACAAGGCCAGTGAAGCTTTCAAAGTTAATGCATAGGTGTAAGGTATCCGACATCAGAAGGTATATAACATAGAAAGAATCTAGCAGGCCCGTAAAAAGCGGCACAAGCCTAAAACTGTGAAATAAAACTAGTGCATAGCCTAAATTGGATGTATGCATTATCATGAGACAAGAAAGGCAATGTCACCACAACTAATAAAGATATCATAGTTGAGGTGGCGGAGGAATTTTACAGAGAGTTGCACAGAAGCCGAAACAACCAGGATAATGTCGTAAGAAGCAATAATAGCCCAGAGGAATTTTACGTCCTACCATGACAGAGCCAGAAATGAAAGCCTTAGAAGGTATGCAAAGAGGCAAAGCCGCTGGTGATGATAAGTCAACTACGAAAAAGCTGAAATATGGCGGAGAAATTGTGTTAGAAAAACTGGCCACCTTATATACGAAGTGTCTTGACGGGAAATGTACCAGAATCTTGGAAGAACGCCAACATCATGCATCCTAATCCATAAAAAAGGAAGGTTCAAGGACGTTAAAAATTAATGGTCGATCAGCTTACTGCCCATTCTCTACAAACTATATGCAAAAATAATAGCTTATAGAATTAGGCGACATTAGAGTTGAATCAACCAAAGGACCAAGCAGGATTTCGTACAGGCTACTCCATAATAGACCATATTCATACTATCGATCAGGTGATAAAAAAATGCGTTGAATACTACCAATCTCTACACATAGCCTTCATAGATTACGAGAAAGATTACTGAGTCGACACATCAGCAGTAAAGCAGGCACTACAGAATCGGGGCATCGACGAATCCTACATAAACATCCTGGCATAAATCTACAGTGGATCCACAGCCACCACAGTTCTGCATAAAGATAGCGACAAAATCCCAATATGGCTGTAAGGCAGTCAGACACGATCTTTCTAATGCTATTCACTGCGTGTTTACAGGAGAATTTCAGGGCCACATGTTGGGAAAAGTTAGGGATAAGAGTTAATGGAGAGTATCTTAGTAACCTGCGATTCGCTGATGACATAGCTTTGATGAGTAACTCAGGGGACCAATTTCAGCTCATGATTACTGAACTGGACATGGAAAGCAGTACAGTAGGCCTTAAAATTAATATCCACAAAAATAAAGTAATGTAAAACAGTCTAGGCAGAAAATAGCACTATGCGATAGGTGGAGAGACGCTGGAAGTTGTAAAGGAATATGTCCACTTAGGACAGGCAGTAACCGCGGAGCCGAACCATGAGAGTGAAATAACTAGAATAAGAGTGGGTGTGGAACACATTCAGCAAGCACTCTGAAATCATGAATGGTAATCTACCAGTAGCCTTCAAGAGGAAGGTATGTAACAGCTGCATCTGGCCGATACCCACCTATGGAGCAGAAAACTAGAGGCTTACAATAAGGGTTCCGCTTAAATTGAAGACGACGCAACGAGCGATGAGGGAAAATGATAGGTGTAACATTAAGATACAAGAATATGGGAGATTGGGTTTACATATATTAGTTGAAATCAAGAAGAAGAAATAAACATTAGTCGGGCACTATAGTGCGTAGGCAGGATAACCGTTGGTCATCAATGGTAACTGACTAGATTCCCAGAGAAGGCAAACCCACGAGGGGGAGACAAAAAGTTAGGTGGGCCGATGAGATTTAAAAGTTTGCAGGTATAACGTGGCGATGAACCAGGTTGATTGGCGATTCATGGGAGGGGCGTTTGCCAAAGTGGGCGTAGTCAGGCTGATGATGGTATTGATGGTCACGAATAAAGTAGGTACAGAACTATTAATTGAAATGAATAAATCAATTCTAAAGAACTAAATTTCTGCTAGGATTAACCTAACAAGAAAATGTTTTTGTGTCTCTAAGAAATTCGCAAGCCATATGGCAAAACACGGTAGTTAGTCCCTTCGTCCACTTTACTTCCTTCACATCTACGTCATAATAGTTGGTTAGCGAAATCTTCGCTCACGCAAAGTATTGGGGGTCATGGCGCTCGTCTGCGTCGACTTCCGGTTTTATATGCT